CCAAGAGGCAGATGTAAGGCGTGATGACGCCACCCATGGCTCTCAGAAATCGAGACTGAAGCAAGTATTTTTTTTTCTTTTTGTTAAAGCCTTATTTTTAAAGTTTTGTTTACAGCTAATGTTTTTTAGGTGATGGTGGTGCGGGGGGAGAGGGAGGGAGGAGTTGGTAAGGAAGTGGTCCTTCCATTTTTGATGGAAAGCCCACCAAAAAAAAATATCTGGGAGTGTTTAGAGGTAACCACACCATAGATTATTGATCCAGGGAATATCTGATTGCTTAAGGCAGTCAATGTCAACCAGGGTTCCATGGAACATAGGGTTCCTTCAAAGATTGCTAGGAGTTCCTTGAAATGTGGCCTTACTGACCTCCCATATGATGGTGCCTGCATTGTTCCAAGTCCACCGCCATGACACAATTAATTTTTTAGCTGTCTGTAAAGAGGACATTCTTCCCAATGGCCACCAATGTAAAGACCATTTATCTCAACTTCCACCATTGTAAGGGGAAGTTTTTCCATTGACCACCAATGTTTGGGTATTCTTCCCAATATCCACCAATGTAAGGAGCATTCTTCCCACTGACATCCAATGTAAGGACCATTCGTCTCACTGGCCACCATTGTAAGGGGATGTTTTCCCATTGACCACCGTTGTAAGGGGTATTCTTCTCAATGTCCACCAATTTAAGGAGCATTCTTCCCACTGACTTCCAATTTAATGACCATTCATATCACTGACCATCATTGTAAGGGGAAGTTTTCCCATGAACACCAATGTATACCACCATTCATATCACTGGCCACCATTGTAAGGGGAAGTTTTCCCACTCACCACAAATGTCATTCTTCCCAATGTAATTCTTCCCACCGGCTTCCAATTTAAGGACCATTCATATCACTGGCCACCATTGTAAGGGGATGTTTTCCCATTGACCACCAATGGTCTGGGAGGTCTTCCCAATGTCCATCAATATAAGGAGCGTTTTTCCCACTGACCTCCAATGTAAGGACCATTCATCTCACTGGCCGCCATTATAAGGGGAAGTTTTCCCATTGACCACCAATGTATACCACCATTCATATCAATGGCCACCATTGTAAGGGGAAGTTTTCCCATTGACCACCAATATAATTCTTCCCAATGTAATTCTTCCAACTGAACTCCAAAGTAAGGACCATTCATCTCACTGGCCACCATTGTAAGGGGATGTTTTCCCATTGACCACTAATAAATTGGTTTTAGCAGGGGTTCCCCGAGACCTGAAAACAATATGAAGGGTTCCTCTGGGGAATAAGGTTGAGGAAGGCTGGCCTAGGGGGATCAGGAAATATTTATTTTTCCCTGTTGGAGTAAATTGGACATTGCTTTATGAGGGTTTTTTTCTTGCCTTCTTATGGATAAACTGTGGGTTTAGGGTTCTGTGGAGGCAGGTTTTCCGGACTGTGTAACTATGAAAAGCCTAGGACAACCCTTTAGTACTCTATTGCAGTCTGTGAATTGCAGCTCTCAAGCACGGACACCAGAGGGCGAGCGAGTCCTCAGTAGAAAGCCTACTAAAGAATAGCGCGCAGTTCACAATAACCACCGCTAGATGGCAGCGCCGAATAACAACAGAGACACGTGGAACGCACAATCCGAATGGAACGCAAGAACCCGGAAGTCTGGTGGAACAAACAAAAAAGCCAGAATCCAAGCAGGAAGTGTTGGAGCTCCAGTTGTTTTGTGAGTGAATCCGCAGTGAATGTGTGTGTATTATGCACCAGACAGCCTTCTGCTATTTATTTGTTATTCAGTACTGTTTAGTCTACCCATATATCAATGTATCCCATATATTGTCAATCCAGAGGTTTCTTTTCTTATTATCCCTTTATAATGAATGTCCTAATGGAAAAAAATAGGTGTTTATTTTTCTTATCTTTCAGCTGTTTGGTCCCTGGAAATGCCACGGCACAGTGAAAACTCAATGACCGATCTGGTCAGGATGGATGCCGACCAGAGTCACAGGACCGAGACGATATTAGACCTCACCCTGGAGATTGTTGCCTGCTGACTGGAGAGGTGAGGAGGATTCTGGGAGGTCACATGACATCACTCTCATCTCTATTAATAAAACACAGACCTGACCGGAGAGGTGAGAAGGATTCTGGGAGGTCACATGACATCACTCTCATCTCTATTAATAAAACACAGACCTGACCGGAGAGGTGAAGAGGATTCTGGGAGGTCACATGACATCACTCTTATCTGTATTAATAAAACACAGACCTGACCGGACAGGTGAGGAGTATTGTGGGAGGTCACATGACATCACTCTCATCTCTATTAATAAAACACAGACCTGACCGGAGAGGTGAGGAGGGTTCTGGGAGGTCACATGACATCACTCCTATCTTTATAAAACATAGACCTAACCGGAGAGGTAAGAAGCATTCTGGGAGGCTACACGTGTCTAAATTTTTTTCCTGTTCTCCTTGGCAGAAATATGGAGTGGTGAAGATGGCGTCCATTGAGTGTCTCTTACAAGGCTTGTATCCAACTATGTCAGGAAAATGGAGCAGAAAACCCGAGTTCCATTGTGGAGCCACCACTTCCCAGCCTGATATTGGAGAAAAACAACGACAAGAAGATTCTAGAAGTCACCCGCAAGATCATTGATCTGCTGACAGGAGAGGTGAGCGGTGTCGGGAATTCTGGGACATTCTCCAGTAACAGACAAGGGATGTGTCTGGATGGTGACTGTATCATTGTGTGTGTCAGGTTCCTATAAGGTGTCAGGAGGTCACCATGGAGGAATCTTTAGAAGGAAACAAGGATCTCCAGAAGGACATCATGTTGGAGAACCCACCACCTCTCACATCACCTGGTATGGTACCATTTATGTTTTTTTACCTTTTTTTCCATTGTGGTGACTAAGACTGGGAGGCCATTAAAGTCCATGTGTGTGGAAAGGCCGGCAGCCCAATACTTAGTGTATGTACTATAGAACTTTTTTTTGCCTAACAAGTGTGTGTGCTCAAGTTTGCCATCTGTTAAACTCTGTGTTTTGACTTTAACACTCCACTTTCATAAAGAGAAAGCAAATAAAAAAAAGTATTTATTTATTTCAGGTACTTATATAGCGCCGTCAATTTATGCAGCGCTTTACATATATATTGTACATTCACATCAGTCCCTGCCCCCGAGGAGCGTACAGTCTAAAGTTCCTAACTCACATTCATACATACACATACCAGGGACAATTTAGACAGGAGCTAAGCATGTCTTTGGATTGTGGGAGGAAACTGGTGTACCCGGAGGAAACCCACCTATGAACAGGAGGAACATGCAAACTCCAGGCAGGCGGTGCAGTGGCTAACCATTTAGCCACTGCACTGCCCCACAAATATAGCGTATACATTGCAACACAAACCATTCTGTCCATTGATGACCTTTCCATTTTCAGTCTTCAGCCATTGTAATCAAAGTCAATACAATATGGCAACCATTGGTCTACAGAATGCTCCCAAAAATGCTGTTTCTTGCTCATGTGATCAGCTCTCTGATTTTTCCAGAAGTCGAGGCTTCCTGCAATAGGAAATTCAGTTTTCTTGATATACTCCCCAAGGGTTAAATACCTCTAAAGTGATGCAGACCTTGCAACTTTTCTCATCAGAACACAGAGTGTGCCCCAGCTGATTATAATGAACCAGACTCTTTCACTATATCCGCTCTCCCCAGACCCCGCATTCACTATATCCGCTCTCCCCAGACCCTGCATTCACTATATCCGCTCTCCCCAGACCCCGCATTCACTATATCCCCTCTCCCCAGACCCCGCATTCACATATATCCGCTCTCCCCAGACCCTGCATTCACTATATCCGCTCTCCCCAGACCCCGCATTCACTATATCCGCTCTCCCCAGACCCCGCATTCACTATATCCGCTCTCCCCGGACCCCGCATTCACTATATCCGCTCGCTCGCCCCGGACCCCGCATTCACTATATCCGCTCGCCCCGGATCCCGCATTCACTATATCCGCTCGCGCCCCGGACCCCCGCATTCACTATATCCGCTCGCCCCGGCCCCCGCATTCACTATATCCGCTCGCCCCGGCCCCCGCATTCACTATATCCGCTCTTCCCGGACCCCGCATTCACTATATCCGCTCCTCCCGGACCCCGCATTCACTATATCCGCTCCTCCCGGACCCCGCATTCACTATATCCGCTCTTCCCGGACCCCGCATTCACTATATCCGCTCTCCCCGGACCCCGCATTCACTATATCCCTTCCCCCCGGACCCCGCATTCACTATATCCCTTCCCCCCGGACCCCGCATTCACTATATCCGCTGTCCCCGGACCCCGCATTCACTATATCCGCTGCCTCCGGACCCCGCATTCACTATATCCGCTGTCCCCGGACCCCGCATTCACTATATCTGCTGTCCCCGGACCCCGCATTCACTATATCCGCTGTCCCCGGACCCCGCATTCACTATATCCGCTCTGCCCGGACCCCGCATTCACTATATCCGCTCTCCCCGGACCCCGCATTCACTATATCCACTCTCCCCGGACCCCGCATTCAGTATATCCGCTCTGCCCGGACCCCGCATTCACTATATCCGCTCTCCCCGGACCCCGCATTCACTATATCCGCTCTCCCCGGACCCCGCATTCACTATATCCACTCTCCCCGGACCCCGCATTCACTATATCCGCTCTCCCCGGACCCTGTATTCACTATATCCGCTCTCCTCGGACCCTGCATTCTTTATATCTGCTCTCCCCGGACCCCGCATTCACTATATCCGCTGTCCCCGGACCCCGCATTCACTATATCCGCTCTCCCCGGACCCCGCATTCACTATATCCGCTCTCCCCGGACCCGCATTCACTATATACGCTCTCCCCGGACCCCGCATTCACTATATCCGCTCTCCCCGGACCCTGTATTCACTATATCCGCTCTCCTCGGACCCTGCATTCTTTATATCTGCTCTCCCCGGACCCCGCATTCACTATATCCGCTCTCCCCGGACCCCGCATTCACTATATCCGCTCTCCCCAGACCCTGCATTCACTATATCCGCTCTCCCCAGACCCTGCATTCACTATATCCGGTCTCCCCGAACCCCGCATTCATTATATCCGCTGCCTCCGGACCCCGCATTCACTATATCCGCTGTCCCCGGACCCCGCATTCACTATATCCGCTGTCCCCGGACCCCGCATTCACTATATCCGCTGTCCCCGGACCCCGCATTCACTATATCCGCTGCCTCCGGACCCCGCATTCACTATATCCGCTGTCCCCGGACCCTGCATTCACTATATCCGCTCTCCCCGGACCCTGCATTCACTATATCCGCTCTCCCTGGACCCCGCATTCACTATATCCGCTCTTCCCGGACCCTACATTCACTATATCCGCTCTCCCCAGACCCTGCATTCACTATATCCGGTCTCCCCGAACCCCACATTCACTATATCTAGTCTTCCACAGTCTTAGTAAATATAAATTGCTAAATACCTTTTCTCATCAGCAGTATATATCAGTCTTGTGACTTCTATCAGTGTCCAGCAGAGCACTGGTTAAAGATTGTAGGAGTAGGAGGTGTGTTTCTTTCTGCTCAAGGAAGATGCAGAACCCCTGACCCTCTATCTGGACAGTGCTGATTGGCCCTGTGCTGATCCCATGTACCCTCCCAAGAAAGAAAAAAAAAAAAACCTCTCTAGCAATACACACCAAACTGAGCATGTGCAGAGTGTGTCCACCCGATATGTCTTATCAAGAGATAAGAGGGGGGGCACTGGAAGAAGGGAAGTATCAGAGAACACAGGGTCAAACACAATGCAGAGGATTAACCCCTTAGGTTCCACAGTGAGTATACCCAGCATGCTTTGCTGCATCTACAGACTGATTGTACTGCGGTGGTTTAGTAACACTTTAATATCGCTGCTCCAAATATTTGAACCAAAATGTACTTTTATTTACCAGATTTATCTGAAGGAGCCAAGATGCTGGAGACATGTGGTGCTATAAAGGAGGAATCGGACTATTTTGAGGAAGAAGGACTTGTGAACGAAGGTGTAGGGATGGATGTGGACTATATGAAGGTCATAATGGAGGAAGAAGGTCACCTTGAAGGTCCAAACTTTGGCATGCCCCCATCTTCTTCCTACGTAGACGTCTGTGATGCACCGAGACGAACGCCGTTTACTCAATACAATACAGAGGGGTCAGACTTGGCTACTCCCGAGACAAACCATTTATCTTTTCATATTAAAGAGAACCTGTCCTCAGATAGTGAAGACCATCCAGAAGAAAAGCCACCAACTGAAGAAGAAGGACCCGGCGATGAGAACAGAGATGAATCCGAAAGAACAGTCAAACCAGACGGCCCATCGCAGAGCCCGGAAGCAAAGACGTACAGCTGTGACGGGTGCGGAAGCGTCTTCACCAGCAGTGCCGACTTCCTCCAACACCGGCCTACGTGCGAAGGGCCTGGTTGGCAGTGCGGTGAGTTTTTCGGCATTGAGGGGTCACGTCAACGGATCCATACGAGATCAAAACCGCACACCTGCTGTAAGTGTGGGGTGTCTTTTAGGTTGAAGTCGCTGCTTGAAGAGCACCAGTGCACTCATGTTAAGGAGAGGTCTTTTGCCTGCGAGGAGTGCGGGAAGTGTTTCGACCAGAGGTCGATGCTCATGAAACACTTGGGGTCTCACGCCAAGGAGAAGGCATACTTGTGTTCGGAGGGTGGGAACGATTTCAGCAGAAGTTCCAGCCTTGTTACCCGGCACCGAAGTCACACAGAGAATCAGCCCTTTGTGAAGTCTACTACCGAGGAGGAGCCCTACATCTGCATCGAGTGCGGGAAATGTTTTTCCTGTAACTCGCTCCTCATCTCTCACCGGAAATCCCATTGCATGGAAAATCCCCATTCATCTTCAGATTCTACCGAACCCATCAGTCAAAATCCTTTGTTGGGCAGCCATCAAAGAACTCCTACGGGGGTGAAATCCTATATTTGTTCAGAGTGTGGGAAGTGTTTTGCCTGTAACTCGCTCCTCATCTCTCATCAGAGATTCCATTGCATGGGAAAGCCCTATTCATCTACTGATTCTATTGAACCCATCATTCAAAATCCTTTGTTGATCAGCCATCAGAAAACTCCCACCGGACTGAGATCCTATTCTTGTTCAGAGTGCGGGAAGTGTTTCTCCGATAGCGGACACCTGAGTGTTCACAAGAGAATACATACAGGGGAGAAGCCATACACCTGTACAGAGTGCGGGAAATCCTTCACCCAGAAGTCGTTGCTGATAAGCCACCAAAGAACTCACACCGGGGTGAAACCCTATTCTTGTTCAGAGTGCGGGAAGTGTTATTCCCAGAGCGGCCACCTGACTGTTCACAAGAGAGTCCATTCTGGAGAGAAGCCGTACACCTGCTCAGAGTGCGGGAAATCATTTTACCAGAGGTCACTGTTGATCTACCATCAGCGAATTCACACCGGGGAGCGACCTTATTCCTGTAAGGAGTGCGGGAAATGTTTTACCCATAGGGCTAACCTCGGGGTTCACCAGAGAATCCATTTGGGAGAAAAGCCGTTTACGTGTGCAGAGTGCGGGAAATCCTTTATTAATAAGTGGGGGCTGGTCAACCATCGGAGAACTCACACTGGGGAACGGCCTTATTCTTGCCCCGAGTGCGGGAAGTGCTTTTCCCGCAGTCCTAACCTCCTGCGACACCGGAGAGTCCACCTATCGGAGAGTTAATTTATCGATCAAGACCATGTCAATGGTTTTGAACGTTCAGTCGAAATACATACATGGGAACAGTTTTGCCTGCCAAAGGATTTGGTATAACTGTCAATCCAGTCCTGAGTTTTACACAGCCCCGTCAGCAGAGCTGGCTTAGTGACTTGACTTTTCCATGCTTGCAGATAGGCAATACAGCCTGGTCATCTCCCCGCCCCCATCCAGTGAAGGAGCAGCAGGATACTCTCACCTCCTGTCAGCATTTTAAGCATTCGCAAGGGCGTGCAGCTCACCGGTAAACATGTGACTGGATGACTTTGTTGTTTTTTTTTTTTAAGCTGAACTCCAGACAGATCAAATAAAACATTTCCATATTCACAACATGCTTTATTTCAGACCCAGTGATGTATTCACCGGATCTCTGTGCCTCTATATGCAATGCCGACAGGTCATGGCTGGTGGGAGGGACTGGCTGGGGGTCCATCTGAAAACATCACAGCACCCTTCCGTAAGAGCCCTCGGCCCTGATGCAAGCAGTGGGGTTAGCACTTGGGAGGAGTTGTGCAAATATACAATGCACCCTAATGGATGGATGTCAGGTCCGGAGGAGTGGGCGGTCCTAGGCAGGTTGAATTTGCATAGAGACGGCCCTAGGTAACACCCAGATGTGAGGCCACGCCTCCGTTCTGGGAAAGCACCCTGCCTCCTTTTCGATACCAGCCTCTTGCAGCAGAAATCAGACTGGGAGAAGGAGAAGCAGCACAGGGAGCTATGCTGTGTGGTGGAGCTAAGGGTCATGGAAAAGGGGGGGGTACCATCAGTCCTGTAGGGAGCCCAGGCCAGCAGGGGGGCCCCAAGCAGCTGGGTGAATCAGATGTATGCTGGAAGGTTGATCAGAACAGCCTAGGGGCGATTGCTGGAACCGATCCCCTGTACGGCTCCCTCTGCAGCAGCTGACTCCTTCTCCTCTCCCTCCCGTCGGCTTTCACCTGCTGCAGAGGGAGCCGTACAGGGGATCGGTTCCAGTGATTGCCCCCCATCACCTTCCCTGTGCACCATACTTTCCCCCCCCTCTGCCCAGTCCCCCCGCTTGCTCCCTCCCCCACAGTGCTGCCAGATTCCCTCCTTTCCTTTCCACCAGCAGCTGCAGGCACTAGAGCAATAGGATCCTTCAGGATGGAGAGTGCGGGAAAGGTTACAGTAATTGCCCCTCACATCACCCACCTTGTGCACCATACATTTCCCCTGCTGCCCAGGCCCCCCCCCGTGTGCCCCCTCCCCCACAGTGCTGCCAGTTTCGCTCCTTTCCTTTCCACCAGCCGCTGCAGGCAATAGGATCCTTCAGGATGGAGAGTGGGGAAAGGTTCCAGTAACTGCCCGCACATCACCCGCCTTACGCACCATACATTTCCCCCTGCTACCCAGCCCCCCCGTGTGCCCCCTCCCCCACAGTGCTGCCACTGCAGGCACTCGGACAATAGGGTCCTTCAGGATGGAGAGTGCGGGAAAGGTTCCAGTAAATACATCCCATTTACCAGCCCCTTGCTTTCCTGAATGAACACAGTGAGCGATCAGTACCGATCGCTCACTGCATTCATTCAGAACTGCAGTATAGTAAGCTGTGGTTTTGTTTTTTTTTTTTGTGGGGGAAGGGGGCCTGTCAGGTTGGCTGTATGGGGCCCCATGGTTTCTAACAGCATCCCTAACGGAGCTGTGTAAATCTCAGGACTGGATGGACAGAGATATAAATCCTTTGGCCCCCCCGAGTGACCCCACCCCCACAGTGCTGCCAGCTTCCCTAATTTCCTTTCCATCGGCCGCTGCAGACAATAGGATCTTTCAGGATGGAAAATGGGGAAAGGTTCCAGTAAATATGTCCTATTTACCAGCCCCTTTCCTTTCCTGAATGAACACAGTGCGCGATCAGTAACGATCACTTGCTGCATTCATTCAGAACTGCAGTATAGTAAGCTGTGGGGCGTTTTGTTTTTTTTACGGGGGAAGGGGGCCTGTCAGGTTGGCTGTATGGGGCCCCGTGGTTTCTAGTGGAGCTGTGTAAATCTCAGGACTGGATGGACAGGGATATAAATCCTTTGGCCCCCCTGTGTACCCCTACCACCACAGTGCTGCCAGCTTCCCTCCTTTCTTTCCACTCGCAGCTGCTGGCACTAGGACAATAGGATCCTTTAGGATGGAGAGTGGGGGAAAGGTTCCAGTAAATACGTCCCATTTACCAGGCCCTTCCTTTCCTGAATGAACACAGTGAGCGATCAGTACCAATCACTCGCTGCGTTCATTCAGAACTGCAGTATAGTAAGCTGTGGGGGGGTTTTTTGCGAGGGAAGGAGGCCTGTGAGGTTGGCTGTATGGGGCCCCGTGGTTTCTAACAGCAGCCCTAAGAGAGCTGTGTAAATCTCAGGACTGGATGGACAGGGATATAAATCCTTTGGCCTCCCCCTGTGTGCCCCTGCCCCCACAGTGCTGCCAGCTTCCCTCCTTTCCTTTCCACCGGCAGCTGCAGGCACTCGGGCAATAGGATCCTTCAGGATGGAGAGTGGGGGAAAGGTTCCAGTAAATACATCCCATTTACCAGCCCCTTCCTTTCCTGAATGAACACAGTGAGCGATCAGTACCGATCACTCACTGCATTCAGAGCTGCAGTATAGTAAGCTGTGGGTTTTTTTTTTGCAGTTGGCTGTATGGGGCCCTGTGCTTTCTAACAGCAGCCCTGGCGGAGCTGTGTAAATCTCAGGACTGGATGGACAGGGATATAAATCCTTTGGCAGGTAAAACGG